TGAATGTCCTATTAATTTAAATGGCCTAAGAAATTGGGTTTTTAAGGCCCGTTTACTGTACATTCATAACTCATCCACGTGTTCACATCCACTATCAAAAGGAAATAATCGCAACAAGAATTGCATGTGTAAACCGGCCTTTTAATAAACAGCTCGCAAGCTTTGTGATATTTCTTGAGTACGTCAAAAGCTGCTGAATTGTGAGAATCTGAAAATCTATTTGAAGCACCATGTTTTTCATCACGTCCTCCCAAAAAAGTTGCCACACCCGTAAATGTAATATTTGTTAATGTTTCTGCATAGACGTGAAGCAGTATCGAGTGAATATGACTGTGCACACCTGTCGACGTTTTATCTCGTGTTTTAGTGTAAAACTCGCGAAAGAGGTAATAGTAGCAAATCTTACATTGTAGTTTTCATTGTTCGTTTACATAATACGGTTTATTGATGGGAAACAATTAACCATTTCCCAAAGTCCTGGGTCTAGTCGCGCGAATCCCATGTTGGAGGGGCAAGAAATATGGCAGCACACATTTAAATTAAAAGTTTAATATAATAAGGGGATATTTAATTTTTGGTCGTTTAAAAAGTTGATATTTGATAGTAGGTACTTCTACTCTTTCACATATTTGACGCCTGTCACCATATATTTTGTCCCTCCAAACGATTCCAGAATGCACTGTGATCTCTTTTGGAAAAAGGATTATGTCAAAACATTCGGTGGTGTTTGTTCGGGGATCGCGTTCATCTACTTAAAAACTATGCATATAGCGAAACATATCTGATTATATTCAGCTTCCATGAATTTCACCAGTTATCGAATTTTCAAAAATTGTTCGCTCTCCAGGTCAATGCGAAGTTGAACTTTTTTTCAGCATTTGCCGGAGTACAACAGAGTCATGGAGGAAATATTTCAATGGATGGAATTCTTTGATATAGAGTACGTATTTATTTAAGCCTAGGTTTCACGTCGTGCAATTTTTTTCTCGCTCCAGTAATGCAATCGCGCGTGTAACCCTTGCTCAGTTGTTTTGCAACTTTTCTCAACAGAGAAAGAGGAAGTAAAATTTGTAGATGTGATTGATTTCTATCCTTCAACAGTCTTGCGTTGTGTTTCGCTCAAGAATTGTTGATGAGTTAGAGGAAAAACATTACAAACGTGATATGATTACTGTTGTTTTAGGGTTGATAACTTTATGATGAGTCAAATGATCCGGATATGTTGTTTGAATGGTCAACTGGACACGGCATGGTTAGATTCTTATTGTATAATTTGTTAAGTACAGAGAATGCTTTAAGACCGTTGAATCATGTTTGGAGGCGAAACATGTTTGAACGTAAAGTTAGCCTGCAAAGCAGACGTTTTGGGTGCGCCTAACCACCCCCACGCGTTTCAAATAAAACGCCTGCTTATACTAGAATTAGTATATACTAGAATTTTATATAAGTACTGTACCATATCAATCTTAACTTCATTTTAATTTACTTTGACAGGGAAAATATGGAAAAATTTTCGGAAAGGAATTTTACACCGACGTGAGTTTTTTTAGAGTTTCTGTTTGTCGGCTTCATGTACTGTTTAAAAGTAAATTGAGTATATACATATATTACTCTCTTTTTACTAAAAGGTTTGCGGCGCTATCTTCGCTACTCCAAGGAACTTTGACCACTAAGGAGAAAGATAAGACAAAGGTATTTGTTATTTTTGAAATCACAGTAGTGGTAAATTAAGTTCTCTTTAATCCGAAACATAATCTCATCTCGCGAAACTCTAATCCGACAATTACGTAATACAGTAAGACACAGGCTCATCGTGCCAAAAACACGCATTTGAGGGATGTGAACGAGTAGATGAGGTATGAATGTTCTGTGTGTATACCCTCACCTGCACATTTCTCTAACACATCTCTTCAACCCCACCAAAATTTCGCTTCACCCCTCCTATTTTGTGTGAAAGTCTTTAAGGTTACAGAACACCTTTGAGTGTTAATTTTGCCTAAAATTTTTTTATTGGTTTTCATGAAAGCATTAGACTAGTTCTACTATCTGACCAAGTTTGAACGAAAAATGTTGAAAACTCGCAGAGTTATTTAATAAACTACATTTCGCTGCAATAA